GAGAGAAGGAGGAAGGAAAAAAGAAGGAAGGACGAGGAAGGAAGGAAAAAGGCTCCGCAGTTGACAAGTATCTGTAGACCCCAGTTGCTGAAGCGATCAAGCGGCAGAATCGTGTCATATCCTTTGTATCAGTTGTTTTCTACCGACCGTTTAAGCCTATCCTCTTCAATAACTGGAACCGTGCCAAACTCATCCGTCTGACACACCCGTTCATCCGTAGCCAGCAAGACTTATTTAACCCTTCCCGTCAATTCTGCAATTCGTAAATTCTACACTGTCGTAAGGGATAAACGCGGCCCTACATCAGTATTTTTTAGCATTAAACAACCAGTTAGCGTCGCGCGATTGCCGGAAAGTCGAAAATAATTAGTAAGGATGCAGAGGAGTAATCGGTACTATCGAAAGTAAACTTTAATTCCTAATGGAAATGCTGAACGGGTCGAAAATCTCCCCGAGAACTTAAGAAATCAGTTGCGATACAAGAAATACATCAATCCGCGAGAGATAAACAGGATGGAAAGCGTAGCATTTTGCTCAGGAGCCTCATGAGAATCTAAATGTGGAAACATGATGAGGAAGCAAAAATTTTATTGCAATGGACTCAAACGTAGGGAACCTTTTGCAACACAATTTCCCAGTGCCTCTTCATGCTCCACATTTGGGATGGTTACCTTTTTTGATACGTAATTTCGTCTTTAATTCTTCAAAATTCAAAGAACAGCAGTCTATTCAGTAGAGCTGGGATGACAGCAAACAAGAATACTCCTTTGTACGCTGTTTACTTAAATCGATAACACATCCGCTCCTCGTAGCGATGGCCAATTTGCTACATCATTTTCAGTTGACTTGCTCCAGAGAAAAAGAAACTGACGGGTATTCTCCCCGTCAAACGGGGATTCTTTCGAGTCCGGGTAAGAATATTCCAAGAAGCATCACAGAAATCAAATAGATAAAACTAGTGCGGGAGGGAACGAGCAAATCAATAGCAATCCACCACGACAACTTCTCACCAACGAGAAATAGCGACTGTCTAGTTCTCATCAGGACTTCTAACTGTTCAGCGACGAAAAGGAACTCGATGGGATGCAAGCGCAAAACATGAAAATGAGGCAAAAACAGGCACGCGAACAAGCGTCAACGAAATGTCCCCAATTATAGGACGCACATCGTGATACCGTATGATTACCATGGCGCGCGACTTGTCGCCGGAGCGCAG